CACAGATTAACACCTCCCAGCAAGAGATTTTCCCAGGCTCAGGCAGGCCTTCAAATGCTAATGAAGGTGATCAGTTGAAACATTCACACCTAACTGCAGCAGAGAAGAGCTCCTTGCCCCACCCCAGCCATTCCACAGATATATAAACCCATTTCCTAATTCCAACAGACCTCACTACCTCTGAGGATGCTTGCCATAGATGCAGGCAAAACATCAGGAGAAATGCCTCTAGAACATGGCTCTATAGCCCGAAAAAAACCCACAAGAACCTAAGATTACAAAATATTTGCATAAAGAATGGAAAATTTTGGAATAGGCAAGGAATTTATTGAAGTCATAAAAAGAAATATATAAAAAGGAGAAGGCAAAAGGGAAAGTAAATGGGGGATATTTACTTACTTACTTACTTTATTTATATACCGCTTTTCTCAGCCCTCAGGCGACTCAAAGCGGTGAACAACATCAGTACAAAACATCACAAAACAAGTATAGGCAATTAAGAACAACTGTAACATAGATCATTAACATCAGTATAACAATCATTAGCACCTCAACAGTAAAATCAGAATCCTGTCTCGTCATCCATTATTCTGTATTCCTATGTTCAATTACACTGTTTACTCAAATGCTTGTTCGAACAGCCAGGTCTTCACTTTCCTCCGAAACGCCAGCAGGGAGGAGGCCAATCTGATATCTGCAGGCAGGGCGTTCCACAGCTGAGGGGCCACAACTGAGAAGGCCCTGTCTCTCGTCCCCGCCAAGCGCGCCTGTGATGCAGACGGGACAGAGAGCAGGGTCCCCCCAGATGATCTTAGTGTCCTAGCCGGTTCATAGGAGGAGATGCGTTCGGAGAGGTAAGTAGGACCAGAATTGTTTACAGGCTAATGCCAGCACTTTGAATTGTGCCCGGTAGCAAACTGGCAGCCAGTGGAGCTGGCGCAACAGAGGAGTTGTATGCTCCCTGAGTGCCGCTCCTGTTAGCAACCTGGCTGCCAAACGCTGGACCATTTGAAGCTTCCGAGCAGTCTTCAAAGGCAACCCCACGTAGAGAGCGTTGCAGTAGTCAAGGCGGGATGTAACCAGAGCGTGGACTACCGTGGCCAAGTCAGACTTCCCAAGGTACGGTCGCAGTTGGCGCACAAGTTTTAACTGTGCGAAAGCTCCCCTGGTCACCGCTGAAACCTGGGGTTCCAGGCTCAACGATGAGTCCAGGATCACACCCAAGAAACGAGTCCAAGATCTGGATTATATGGCAGTGTAGAAGGATCAAGTGGGATATCTTATCAAGTATCATTCTGATCTGCCGGAACAAAAAGGGGCAAGGGAGACAGGGCTTGAAACTCAGGATGGAAAAGCTAGCTTCCCAACATCCTAGCAACTGTCAGGATGGGTAAGGAATCACTGAGTAGAGAAGCAACTCAAATGTGCAGGGAGGCATTCAGCAGAGCCCAGCTACCAAGAAAGATAGGTTGCTGCTAAATGATTGGGCAAAGGGTCTTCTAAATGTGATGGCTGGGGCAGTTGATGCTACTAAGTTCATCAAAAGACAAGGATTCAGAGTTTGCAGACGACACCAAATTGGGAGGGATAGCCAATACTCCAGAAGACAGGAGCAGAATTCAAAACAATCTTATCAGATTAGAGAGATGGGCCAAAACTAACAAAATGAAGTTCAACAGTGACAAATGCAAGATACTCCACTTTGGCAGGAAAAACGAAATGCAAAGATACAGAATGGGGGACAATGCCTGGCTCGAGAGCAGTACGTGTGAAAATGATCTTGGAGTCCTCGTGGACAACAAGTTAAACATGAGCCAACAATGTGATGTGGCGGCAAAAAAAGCCAACGATTTTGGCCTGCATCAATAGGAGTCTTATGTCTAGATCCAGGGAAGTCATGCTACCCCTCTATTCTGCCTTGGTTAGACCACACCTGGAATATTGTGTCCAATTCTGGGCATCACAATTGAAGAGAGATATTGACAAGCTGGAATGTGTCCAGAGGAGGGTGACTAAAATGATCAAGGGTCTGGAGAACAAGCCCTATGAGGAGCGGCTTAAGGAGCTGGGCATGTTTAGCCTGAAGAAGAGAAGGCTGAGAGGAGATATGATAGCCATGTATAAATATGTGAGAGGAAGCCACAGGGAGGAGGGAGCACGCTTGTTTTCTGCTTCCTTGGAGACTAGGACGCGGAACAATGGCTTCAAACTACAAGAGAGGAGATTCCATCTGAACATGAGGAAGAACTTCCTGACTGTGAGAGCTGTTCAGCGTAGTGGTGGAGGCTCCTTCTTTGGCGGCTTTTAAACAGAGGCTGGATGGCCATCTGTCAGGGGGTGCTTTGAATGCAATTTTCCTGCTTCTTTGCAGGGGGTTGGACTGGATGGCCCTTGAGGTCTCTTCCAACTCTATGATTCTAAAAGTAGAGTCTATTGAATGTCCACCCCAAGTAAACCATGGACAGCCTGGTACTCACGCCTATGGTGGGGATGTAAGGAGACACAAAAGTTCTGGAATCAAATCTTCATGAAAATTGAATTATATACAAAAATAAAAAATGATTTAAATACAGAGATTCTCTTAAAAGGGATTTGCGGGGACAGTAAAATAAAAGCACATGAACAAAAATTAGTTATGATGATGTTTAGAGCAGCACATGCTGTGATTGTCTAGGGATGGAAAGAAAAAAAGAAATGGACCCTGGGAAAATGGTATGAATATGTGTACAATTGGAAATTATGGACATTGTAAGAAATGAAAAACTATGGACAGAAAAGCAGAAGGAAATCAAAGAAATATGGTCACCCTTTAAAAATTGGATACAAGAAGCTAAACCAGAGGACGATCATTGGGGGAAAAAAATAGATAGAATGCAACGATGGTTCGAATAAAGGAAGAAGGACCAACTTGTCAACGGGGGGAGTGGGAGGGTTAAGGGGTGGAAAGAAAAAATGTATTGAAACCAAAGCAATGTAAAGTAAATATAAATGTATTACAAATAGTTTTTTAAAATAAAGAATTTTTTTTAAAAACTACTCACTGTGACTCTTATACCTATTCTACCTGACTTTCTTCATGTGGACCCTTCATTGCTTCCTCCCCGGATACCATTGGATCGCTAGGCCATTTGAACAGAGTCTAATAGTTTTTCTTTCCAGTCCTTTGTTAGTAGTTCCTTTTCCCCCTTCCAAGATTTCGCTATTGTTAATCTAGCACAGCGTTTCTCAACATGGAGGTCGGGACCCCTGGGAGGGGTCGCAAGGGGGTGTCAGAGGGGTCACTAAAGACCATCGGAAAACACGGTAATTTCTGTTGGTCATGGGAGTTCTGTGTGGGAAATTTGGTCCAATTCTGTCATTGGCAGGGTTCAGAATGCTCTTTGTAGGTAAACTATAAATCTCAGTAACTACAACTCCCAAATGTCAAGGTCTATTTTCCTCAAACTCCACCAGTATTCACATTTGGGCATATTGAGTATTTTATTATTATTATTATTATTGCGGTTGCTTATACCCCGCCCTTCTCACCCGGGGGGACTCAGGGCGGCTTACACACACAAGGCACAATTCAATGCCTGTATTACAAAAACATAATATCAAAAACATAACATCAGTAACAACAGTAATTATAACACTGATAACAATTAACGTAAACAATCAATATTATCGGCAGGAATAGCCATAAACCCGTAAAAACAATTAAAACAATAAAAACAATACAATACTTGAGCCAAGTTTGGTCCAGATCCATCATTATTTGAATCTACAGTGCTCTCTGGATGTAGTTGAACTACAACTCCAAAAGTCAAGGTCAATACGCACCAAAGCCTTCCAGTATTTTCTGTTGGTCAAGGGGATGTGCCAAGTCTGGTTTAATTCCATCATTGCTGGAGTTCAAAATGCTCTTTGCTTGTAGATGAACTATAAATCCCAGCAACTACAACTCCCAAATGACAAAATCAACCCCCACCCCCCACCCCACTCCAACCCCACCAGTATTCAAATTTGGGCATATCAGGGGTGTTTGTGTCAAGTTTGATCCAGTGAATGAAAATACATCCTGCTTATCCGGTATTTACATTACTATTCATAACAATAGTAAAATTACCGGGCGTTCCCTGGGCATCATCCTTGCAGACAGCTAATTCTCTCACACCAGAAGCAACTTGCAGTTTCTCAAGTTGCTTCTGACATGATTTTTTAAAAGTAGCAACGAAAATAATGTTATGGTTGAGGGTCATCACAACATGAGGAACTGTATTAAAGGGTTTATAAAGATTGAGTAACACTGCTCTTGTTGTTGTTCATTCGTTCAGTTGCTTCCGACTCTTTGTGATCTCCTGGACACTGTTCTAGCAGCAACCAATCTATATTGACATATTTCTTCATCTCCTTTGCTAATTCTCTCTCTAAATCGCCCTAAAAGACACTTTTCTGGGCTTTTCTTAACCTTATTAGTCGTAATTTTGCTGGTTTCTTTAATCACATTTTCCCAAAGATCTTGTACCATCTTATAAGTTCACCAAATATGGGAAGAGTGCCTTTCTGCGTCTTGCACCTCCAGCATTCCCTTTGGTGAAATTGATCTATTTTGGCCCATTCATCTCTGGGTTTATAAAACAGGTGATGGAGGTGGAGGATGAGGAGAAGGAGTTGTCCTCCCTGTCCCTGGGGCAGAGGCCCAGAAGAAGGGGAGTGTGCTGGCCAGAAGCAGATGAGCCTCCTGGCAGTGGAGGACAAGGCGCAAGCCAGGAAAAGGCTCTGCCCCGGACTGGGGCTAATGAGCACAACTTCCTGGGCATGGCCATGGACCAGACAAGCTGCCGAGTGTGAAACACTCCCACCTCCCTGCAACAACCCCCCTGATTTTGTTCCTTGACAAAATTGAAGGAAAAGTTGATAAGGAGAAGACCTGGTTATGGCTCACAAATGCAACCCTGAAGGAGATAGAAGACCTGATTTCTAAAAGGTTCCTGAGAGGGAGAGGCCTCCTGCCTTACCTTCGACGCTGGCCTCACTTCAATGATGTGCGACGGTAGAGAGGGCTCCTCTGCACAGGTTCCTTGTGGCTTGATGTGCGTCTGGAGAGAGGGCTCCTCTGCGCAGGTTCCTTGTGGCTTGATGTGCGTCTGGAGAGAGGGCTCCTCCGCGCAGGTTCCTGGTGGCTTGATGTGCGTCTGGAGAGAGGGCTCCTCCGCGCAAGTTCCTTGTGGCTCGGGAGGTCTGGAAAGGGGCAAGAGAAGGCCACAAAGCATGAGAGACTGGGGCATCCCACCCCCTGGATGGGGCCAAGGGTCCTGCAACCCCCTGGCTCCCTCCTTCCCTCCAATGGATGGTCCTGGAAGCCCCTGGGGCCCCATGAGGGCATCCCTCTTCTCCGCTCCAAGGGACTTAGCAAGAGATTGACCCCTGGAACTGGCTGCCACTGGGAGAGAGGGAGAGCTCTGGCAAGGCAACTAGGGGTCTGCCTGAGGACTGAGTGGCGGGAGTTTGGGATTGAGAGGAGGAGAGGGATTTACATGTGGCTGGTGACTGGCTGGCCCTTTCCACGCTCACCAATCCGCACCCACATGCAAATTCCCTCTCTGCATAGAAACCTCTCCTCCCTAAGGGCCCCTCTCGCTACTTCCTCCACCAGCCAATCAGCACCCATATGCAAATTCCCTCTCCCTCACCTCTCAGCCCCTCCCTCCTGCCCTCCCACAGCTAAGCCCCACCCACAAACTTTTTCCCCTGCTGTCTAGACTAGCGCTAGCTCTCAATCTGTTGCATGGAACCCTATTGTTCCACAAAAGCACCCTTAGGGGTTCCATGGAAAATCTTAAAAATCAAATTTGAACAGGATTTTAAAATCAATTCAAACAGGTCTACGTATTGGATTGTCTCTAATGAGAAGGAAGAGTCTGGTTTTCGCCCTGGCTACAGGACAGAGATGGCTTTGGTTGCCTTGGGAGATGATGTACGTAGAGAACTACACAGGGGAGTGTGTCCCTGGTGGTTCTCTTAGCGGCTTTCAGAGCCATCCCCTTGAAGGCGCAGGTTCGCAGCTTGGGTGTGATCCTGGACTCATCGCTGAGCCTGGAGCCCCAGGTCTCGGCGGTGACCAGGGGAGCATTTGCACAGCTTAGGCTCATGCGCCAGCTGCGCCCGTACCTTGGGAAGTCTGACTTGGCCATGGTAGTCCACGCTCTGGTTACATCCCTAGACTACTGCAACGCTCTCTACGTGGGGTTGCCCTTGAAGACGGCCCGGAAGCTTCAATTGGTCCAACGTGCGGCAGCCATGTTACTAACAGGAGCGGGACGCAGGGAGCACACAACGCCCTTGTTGTACCAACTCCACTGGCTGCCGATTTGCTACCGGGCTCAATTCAAGGTGCTGGCGTTGGCCTATAAAGTCTTAAATGGTTCTGGCCCAAGATACCTATCTGACCGCATCTCGACCTACGAGCCCACCAGGACTTTGAGATCTTCCGGGGAGGCCCTGCTCTCGATCCGGCCTGCTCAGGCACGGCTGGCGGGGACGAGAGATAGGGCCTTCTCGGTTGGTGGCTCCTCGGCTGTGGAACACCCTTCCCGTGGACATCAGACTGGCTCCTTCCCTGATGATATTCCGCAGGAAATTAAAGACCTGGCTGTTCAAGAAGGCGTTCGAACAAGAAGTGCAATAATTGGTAATGACGACAGGAATGGAACAACGGAAAATGATACTGGATTGTGGTTCAAACGATGAGACGACGTGAATGGCTGTTTGTATTATTGATATTGTTGATGTTTTTGATAATGATGTTTTTGGTTACTGCTAGATTGATATTTTAGATTGTGTCTTGAATTTTGAACCTTGTTTTTCTATGTTGTACACCGCTGTGAGTCGCCCCCGGGCTGAGAACAGCGGTATATAAGCAAAGTAAATAAATAAATAAATAAATAAATAAATCAACCATGGTATCCTTCTGGGTCGCCTGGCTGGGATGGGACTCGGGGGCACTGTTTGACAGTGACACCGGTCTTTCCTGGAAGGACGGACCCAGAAGGTGGCACTAGGGGATGCCTGATCGACCCTATGGCCATTATCCTGTGGGGTCCTGCATCATCCGGAGTTTTGGAGTTCAGTGCGATCTGTACACAGATGACACCCAAGCGAAGGATGCCACTCAGACCCTGAACCAGTGCAGCTGTAATGGACTGGATGAGGACAAACAAATTGAAATTGAAACCAAACAGTATCAGTTGTAAGGCAGATTAAGGAATAGGAGGCAACCTGTGTTAGATGGGGATACACTCCCCTGGAAACATCAGGTCTGCAGTATGGGGGTCTTTCTGAACTTATCACTACGCCTGGAAGCCTAGGTGTCGGTGGTGGCCAGAAGGGCCTTTGCACAATTAAAACTTGTGCGCCAGCTGCACCCGTACCTTGAGAAGCCAGACTTGGCCATGGTGGTCCACGCCTTAGTTACATCCCACCTAGACTACTGTGACAGGTTCTATGTGGGGGTGCCCCTGAAGAGCGCCCGGAAACCCAATTAGTCCAAAGAGCTGCAGCCCAGGGAGCACACAACTCCTCTGCTACAGCGCCTACACTGGCAGCCAATTTCTTTCCAAGCCTGATTAAAGGGGCTGGTTTTAACCTTTACATCCCTAACTGGTTGAGGTCCAACTTACTTATCTGCCCACACCTCCTCATACCAACCAGTTCTCTCTTTAAGATCTTCAGGGAAAGCTCTACTCTCACTTCCACCACAGTCGCAAATGTGGCTGACAGCAATGAGGGAGAGTGCATTCTCGGTGGCCTTCCCGAGCCAGTGGAACACCCTCCCGAAAGAAATTAAAACAGTGCCCTCCTTTCTTCTTTTAAGAACCAATTAAAAACTTTCCTGTTTAGACAGACTTTTCGTGAAGGAAATTAATCTGTAGTGACGGAAAACACCATAACGTTACTGACTGGAGTAGAGTGCAATACAGTGTTTTGTATAGATGCTTGTAAGGACTTCATTGCATTATTAAACGGGTGAAAAGATTCAGCTGAGTAGAGCTCCCCTTTCCTATAAAATAGGAGAACTGTTTACCCTCACCACACTACCATGCAACTCAGTATGTATCCGCATTCTTTGAGTTAATTTCTCATCACATTACAGTTCTGGGCTTATTCTCAAGGCTTTTTTAAAAAAAAAATGTTTTGGCAAAGACCTACTTTCTCGGTGAGGAAAAGGTGATGGCGGTGACGGAACTTTTACTAACCGCCCAGTTTTCTGTATGCCCAGGAGGGAGTCTCCCACAGCTTCCCTTCCCACATTTTAAACTGGGAGCAACAAATGCCACTACATTACAGGAAAAGTCAAACTTCCCGATGATTCCAAAAAATCATTTTTCTCACCAGACCTCAAGAGACCTCACTACCTCTGAGGATGCTTGCCATAGATGCAGGCAAAAGGTCAAGAGAAAATGCCTCTAGAACATGGCCATATAGCCCAAAAAAACCTACAACAACCTAATTTCCTCACCACCTCCTGACATGTTGAAAAAGACTGCTGCCCCCCACACTTAAAAACTACACAAAGACTGCTCTCTCCTAAACTTGAGGCCAAATGAATGTGGTGGGATCAGGGGCTTCCTGAATTTTAAGTGGAATTTAGTCTATGTGATGAAGTAGTTAGATGTTTTTATTTATATTTTTCACATGACTGAGCTTTGGAGAGCTTCTGTTCAACCATTTCAAAGCTCCCTGCTTGAGCGGTGATGGCATGATCATTAGCACAGTTGAAACTCTCTGTCCCTTCTTACACAAATGATCAGCAGTGCCTGATCATTTGTGTAAATGTTGAACATTGATGGAGCAAGCACGCTCCCTTGAGGCAGACTGTTCTTCTGTTTTCACCATCTACTTCTCTGGCCCTGGAATTCAACAAAAAAAGCTCCGGTTTTGTAGCAGATTTCCTATGAAGTGGGGGAGGTGATAGTCCTTTGTGATATTATAATTTTTCCTCAGGAGAAGGAGATTATTTACAGTGTCATAGGCTGCTGACAGGTCTATGAAGACAGCTCCTGTAATCTGCTGCTTTTCAAAGCCGTCTTCTAAGTGCTGAGTCAGGTTCAACACTTGTGATGTGTAGCTTTTGCCTTTCCTGAAGCCAGCTTGCTGTGGGATCAGAAATGGGTCTACTTTTTCCATGATTCTATGCAGAATAAGTCTCTACAGAACTTTGTAAAGATGGCACAGCAAAGAGATTGGTCTATAGCTTTTTGGATCATTGCGGTCTTTGCCTGGTTTCAAGACGGCCATGACTCTTGTTTTCCTCCAGATTTTGGGGATCTGACAGGATGCAATGCAGTTGTTCATCGGCTTTAGCAGCCAGCACCTTGCTTTTGAGCCAAAGTTCTTAATTTGTTTCATCCCTGGATCTTCCAGGCCAGCTGCTTTGCCATTTTTGCATCTATTGAAGGCCATGTCCAATTCAGTAGATGTAAAGGGTTCATGAAGGTTGTTGTTCTCAGTTTTGGGTTGTCTGACTATTGGTTTCCTTCCTACTTTGGTGGGTTTCCCATTCTTCATTAGTCTGATCTGCCTTTATGTTGACATGAGTATTAGTTTGTGAGGAATCATTGCTCAACTGTCTTAGCAGCCTCCACGCCTTCTGACTGCTCCTTCCCATGTCGACTTCAGTTCTTTCTTGGCTTCAGAGATGGAGGACAAAATGCTCTGCACTGTCTGAAGAGTTTGCTCCCTAAATGGGTCTTCGTTGTGGAGCCTGTAATAGTCTTCCAGCAAGGCAGCTGTTTCAGGAGTAATGCCCCGAAGGAAGTGTGTTCTGCAGCCTCTCAGTGTAGAGGCTCGTGAGCAGGTTTTTACTATTTCAATAAAGTGCTTGTATTCCTCGGGGATTGGGGTGACCGATATGATCTTGTCATCTAACATGCCTGAGAATTTAGTCCAATCTGCCTTTCTGAAGTTGAATCTTTTTTAAAATCGGACTTTCTGAGGCCTTATAGTTGGGAACAATTGGCATACTATTGGTCAGTGCTGTGTGTTTGGTATTGGTGGTCCCACTGATTTAGTGCATTGCTGCACAATGCTGTCGCTCACAAACAAGAGGTCTGGGTTGTATCCTCGGTGTCATCTCCCACTGTTGTAGGATGGTGGGAGTCTACTATCATGAATAAGTGATAGTTTGTGCAGTTCAGCCCAGGAGAGGAAAGCCTCTCCATTTTTATCCTCCTGGGCATAGC